TATCGACTCAATAATAAATTGAATTTTGTCAAAATATTATTTTTGTTTGTATTATTTATATTCAAATAATAAAGTCAGCATTTAGTATAATTCACTTTTAAAAAATGTTTCAAAACCAACTGCTAAATTTTGAGAAGAGTTTGATGCAAAAAAAGAGAAATTTAGAAATTGTTGTTTGGCACTATTGAATGTTAATTCAAAATATGTCTGATCAAACATTATATGAACGTGTGATTAATTATTATAATGAAGATAATAAGCATTCAAAATATTTAATAAGATTGCAAAACAGAATACAAAAATAAAGCAAAATATATGCTGGCTCAATGCTATTATTTTGGGATGGGTGTCGAAAAAGATTTTAAAACAGCTTTTAATATCTTTTTAGAACTTTCAGAAAGTAAGTTATATTCCACTGAAGCTAAAGATTAGTTGGCAATACATTATTTTTCTGGGAGAGGTGTAAAACAAAACATTAAAAAATCCTTTGAAATTTATTTGAAACTTTCAAAATCAAAAAAGGCAATTGAACTCTTTTCAGAACTTTCAAAAAGCAAATCAGATCAACAAAATTCTGCTAACGCTAAATTTGAGTTGGCTCATTGTTATAAATTCGAAAAAGGAATTACTAAAGATATCAATAAAGTACTTCAACTCTATTTAGATCTTTCAAAAAGTGAGTTGTTTTATCAAATTCATGCTTTTTGATGGCTAGCAAATCACTATCTAATAAATAGTGAAGAAGAAGATTCTTATAAATACTTTAAATTATACTTTTAAAAAGCGGAAATTTCTAAACGGTTCTTTAAGCCAATGTAAAAATATTAATTTATAGATGCGTTCAAATTATTTAAAAAAGTAGTGATTAGTTGTGCTTTTAACTCATCAAGTAAAAAGAATTTTTTTCAGCTGAGTTTACATTTCCAATTGCAGCAAATCGTTAATAAAATTCCTTTTCGAAATGTAAAATTATTATTATATTATCACACGAACTCGTAGCTTCGAGAATTCAAATAAATTGTTTGCT